ATTTTATTTGTTTATCTTGCATAATTGTTAAGATATGCAATTTTTTGTGCGCGCCCTTTTTTTTGAAACACACTGTATAATATATACTACTATCAACCAATATATTACTATCACCACCATTATCAATTTTTTTCTTTTCCAAAAAAATAGATGTACAATCAATCAATCAGAAAATAATTATTACGCGATCATCATCATTATTATTTATTAATATTATTTAGAAAATAGAAATTATTTGTTAAGATGCACAGTTTTATTTAATAAAGGTAAATTTAATTTTTTTTCAGTGCTAGAAATTCAAGATCAAAATATCCTACTCTATACAACATTGCATTAAAAAAAAAGGATGATAAACGATCAGAAAGAATTGTTATGCGACTAAATTCTTTCTTTGTACAGTTCACTCTCTCTATAACGAACACTAAATAAAATCTCTCTATAATGAACTTCTATTTTGTCCCAATTCATTTTTTATAATTAATATTAATTTCTCTCTCTATAATGAACATATTAATAAACCCTCTCTATAGCATAAAAATTACATATAGGATGAAAGGTTCGTTATAGATATACTGAATTATATGTTAATATAAATAAAATAATAATAATAATATTTATTTAAAAAGTAAAAAAACAAATGAATTTATTCAAATATGTATTTTTCTACCTATAATCTCGAGCCGATTTTAAAGTTGTGCTTGACTATCAAAAATTATAGTGATACATATATTAATATTGATATTGTATGGAACAAGGAAATTTTGCCCTGATCTGCAGTATGTATTTCTGGCGAATTGCGAATTAAGGTTTAGGGTTAACTCTGTTAAACGATTCATTAATACCAATACTAATACTAAAATGAATCACCAAATCCTTGTATTGTACAACATTGACCAAATTGTGCATTTTTCTTTTGGATATGATCATTGACAAACCAATTGAAAATATGTCGGTTGTTAAAGAAAGCTATTATTCAGACATTTGGCGAGTTTATGTGAGTGTCATACAATAAAAATGGTAATGAAGCCAAATTTTATTCTCTGTTCGGAAATCAAGTTCGATTACTGTTTACAGCAGGGAAATAAAATTTGTATATAATTTGCTATTAGTTGATAAAAACAAAGAGATACAATTAATATTATATCGTAAGCCCATACAGTAATAATAATAGATTTATTATTATATATAGAGTTTTATGCTTTACCAAAGTATTAAGAGGATCGAAACATGAAAAAATAATTAATAATACGAAAAGGGCAAATGCTTAAATTGATGGACGGAAGAATCTCTGGTTCATAACTAAGTCAAACATTTCATTTGAACCCTTTTTCCTGGGCGTGTTCTATGACCGTCACCAAGTATCGAAATATCTTTAGCACCCTTTCTAATGTTGACATTAATTTATTATTATTGACATTGGATCACTACCACCATCATCATTTCCTTGTGTGATTTCTTTAAAACTATTGGATATTTCTCTTTTCCTGGATCCAAAATCGTTTTCGTGTGATTGTATTATAAAAAACATTCCTTTTGCATCTAATAATCTTATTATATTCATTTCTCATCATAAAGTTGATAATCATCTCTAGTTGTCGAAATTTCCATATTTTTGCTGAATTTCTGGAGAACATGCAGAAAGACCTTCATCAATATTTTAAAATGTGAACCCAATAAAGGTAATTTTCTTGAGTGAAATACAGATAACAATAATATCTAAAAAACAAGCAAAAAAAGCAATTAATTATTACTCAATTCATACCACATCCTTTCTCTCCTCTTCTTTAAAGCGAACCATTTTTCGGCATCCAGTTCAATTTGGTCGAGTTATTGTTGTATTTTCTTCCTTTGTCGCGACAATCTGCTTTGTAAGTGCACTTTTAGAATTAAATAAGTATTGATTATAGTTACTTGGTAGTTGGTTGCATACAATTCCATTATTGAGGTAAATCGATGTCTTTTTAACATTCTCGTTACTTTCAATCGTATTTCATTTACAAGACCTGAAAGGTAATAAAAAGAAAAAACCTCAATTAGGACAATATATAAATAGAAATATGTAAATGAAATTTACTATTGATAAATATTTATCTGGCTTACAAGTTTACATGATGCACGACGAAAAAAAATGGGGTTTCCAATGAATGAGGAATATTTGGAAGCTAAAACGATTGACAACAACGACAAATGTTGTCCAAAAAACAAACATATTTGAATACATTTATCCGTGATTTTGCTTCGAAGCAAAACAATATATCATAATTTTTAAAAACTGGTGGTAACTGCTAAAAACCACCCGAGTGAATAATCCAATATTAAAAAATATATGCATATACATAATTATTTTTTTTTAATAATATACCATCAAGAATAGATGCTACTTCGCAATAATATCAATAGTTGATGTTTTTGCGAATTTCCACTTGATGTATTTATTTTTCGACAAATTTATTAGAAAATGTATGTATTGTAATGCCATTGATAGTTGTGGAAGCAATTCCAATTGAAGCGATCACATATTTTAAAGAGTGGAAACAACGGAAGCCTTTTTCAATTCCTGATATAATAAGCGATAAATGATTATAAGAAATGTGTTTTGTTTTTTGTGCACAGTCATGACGAATTGATAGGATGAAAAATCAGAACATAATTATATGGTCGAGAACACTAATTATTATTATTGTTATTATTATTATTATTATTTTAACGATGCACAGCCAGATTATCATCTGGGAAAGAGTTAGCGACATTTGATGCTAGTGAGATTAACGTTCAAAGTCTTTGGAATAGCAACGAAATTCACGATGATGCACCAATTTTGACCTGTGGAAGTGATAAAGATGTTCAAGATTCTACAAGAAAAAAGAAAATCTAATTATTATGATGACAGTATAGCTGAAACTGACTTGTCTGATTTGGAGATAAGAAAGAAAATAATACCAAAACAAGAAGTGATGGTGTATATAATAGCATTAAAAGGCATTTATATGGAATTTAGAAGAAAATTGAACAAACAAATCAACCTGAACCTGAAGATGATCGTGTAAGTTTGATTTTATATAATTTATTTTTTCCAAAGAACTATGTTTGGATAGTGTTATTTTTTCATCACGCAATGAAAATGCGATAACTACCTCACAAAGTCTGTTTATAATGAAATTGATGACACTTTGATGACACTTTGGTGGGACAAATTCTCGAGCGTTGTAATGTATGCGTTATTTTTTTATCATCAATAAAAGAAATACATATTAGTATAATACACGGCAAATGAGTGTAGTAATAGAACGTCATATCTGCCTGATTTGGCCATTACAGATGATTCTTTCCTTCTAGAGGTGTATGACAAAGATGCAATTACACAGGTCAGGTTGATAGCAAGATTGATTGTGTCATGCTTCCAGTCTTATTTGGCAACCTTGATTTGGAGACATGGATGTTCCCAGATTTATTTCCAAATGGGTAATAGTAATGCCGAATTCATATGGTGATGTGATTAATACATGCCCATATTAATATGTCAAAATGAATTTTACATCACCATAATATTAATGTCAAATTGTTGAATTGTCGGATTGATATCACTACTACTAGAAATTTGCTATGGAAATTCAGTTGGAATTTATTAATACAATATAGTGAATTTATAATATTAACACTTTAACAACTTGTATAATTAAAAAAAACTATCAATTTATTGATAATCTAAAACCAATTATTACTATTCAAATGATTAACACTGGCTAGGATATCACACTCTGAATCATCAATCATATGATTCAAATCAATTAAATTACATACTAATAAATCTGAATTATTTAATGGATTATTGTCATTTTCTTTCTCTTTATCAGGAATTAATCCTCAAATATCTTCTACTTTTCCAACAAACATATCTGAATCAAAGGTAAGAGAATTGGTATAATCTGGTTGAAGGCTTCATAATTAAGTTCTTGATGTGTAAAATGAATGAAATCGTGCCATATTAGATACCTTTTCCATTTTAATAAAGTAAATATTATTATATAAGTATATCTTTTGAGTAAACTAATTTAATATTGAGAAACATGTTCACAGCTTGCAAATTATTACTTGGTTGATTACATCCTAACCATCATGATTGAGGAATCTGAAGTTCATCGGATATATAAGGAAAATTGAAAGCCTCATAATTATTCATTTGAATTGCAAGTGTAAATGCTGTTTTTGATCCTCCTCCGATTTTTGGCCATAAAATTAAAGCCTTTCTTTGAACTATCTGATAAGTTTTCAGGTATAAGACCTTTTCCACGATATTTGTGATTCAAATAAATGTGATAATAAATATAATTCAAAAATCAAATTGACGCCATCCATCTATTATTGTAAAATCGGTATTATTCTCGTGTAACATTCTTTATAAACAAGGTCCGTTATTATTATAACTATAACTATTACTATGTTCGTACACTAATTAATTCGTAAATTAATTAATATTTCTTTGCCATCATCAGACATACTTGTTAAAATAATAGGCGTTACCAACTATCGCTATCACTATTTATTATTACTATGTGACACGGCGAACTTTCGATTTGTTTTTCGCATAAAAATTTAACCACTTATTATATTTTAGGTTTATATTTTAGGTTTAGATTTGTTATCTGTGTATGTGGCGTCAAAAATATCGTTGATTGATTGTCCCCGTACTAATACATTTTTGAAAAAATATTTATAAATACATTCGCGTTACATTTTATCAAAAAAAAAAAATTTTTTTTCTTTTTTTTTTTCATTACAAATATGTCAAAAGAAAATAATAAAAATAAATATGATTTTATAGAAGTTAAGAAAGCAGATAATCATGAAATAACAGTAATCATTGAAAATCTAACTACAAATGGTGTACATAATGGATGTTTTATTGATTGTATAAAATTTAGTCCTAATTATAGATTTTTAGTAACTCTTAGTAAAAAAGATCAATCCATTGTTGGGTGGACAGTTAATGACAAAGGAATTATCCTGCAAGATGACTCTCTTAAATTTTCCAAACGCGATTTTGATAAAGATGACATATATATAAAGGATGTTTCTGATGATAAGCATGTGCTTTTATATAGTCTATATTTTGGATATCAAGATTATAGTAAGTAAATATAATTAATTATTGTTTGTGTTATCTGTAAGCAATAATAAAAAATCACATCACTTAAAATTAATTTACTAGGATTGCTTGATTTTTCGAAAAAAATTTATCATGATTTCATAATTGATAATAGAATATGTCCTCGTTTTCATGATGGGGGTTTCCTTACAAATAATTATTTAATAATGTACTATTATAATTATTTATACAGTTTTTCATATGATAATGAAAATCGTAAATTGGCCATTAAATCAATGTATCACATTTACAGCAATTTCTATATAGATTTTTTTGTAAATTCTGATTATTTTTTATTAAATCAAAATTCTTCATTAATGTCACTGTGGAATTCAACAACTATGTCATATCAAGCTAGTTGTTGCTTAATATATAGAAGGGAGGACACTAATATAATATTTAATCAAGACAAAACAATAATGGCATTATATAATAAAGATGATTTAAAAATAATGGTTTTTTCGTTAAAGCACCACATTACTGTTTCTTCATGTAAGTATTTATGATGAAAATTCGTCTTTCTTTTCTTAGGGTTTTATTTATTTATAAACTAAATATGTTTGTTTACAGCTGTATTGGAAAAAAATACTTTAATTAAAAAATTGGATTTTGTTTATATAAAAAGTCATTTAGAATATTTATTGGTAATATTCCACCATATAAATACAAACAAATACACTTATAAATTATTAGATCCTTGTAACTTAAATAACTCTATGGATATTACGGATTACTTTAATGAATATATTAAAGAAGATACACATGAAAATATTATATTTGGGCCAAACATATCAGATAATAAAATAGTAATGATTATTAACAATCAAATTTGTATCAAAGAAATTATTAGCAGAGAAAAATTAGACAATTTTCAACAAATACACATAGAAACTAGGTATTATTTACATATAGGACAAATACTAAGTGAAATACATGAAAAGATGGCAGATGTTACTTATGAATTGCCAAGGGAATTTAAAAAATTCGATATTGAAAGAGGAAAAACCATCAAATGGTCAATAGAATATGACACATCCTTTGGAAGTATCAATGTAAAAGCTCAGGTAATTAATGATGGAATAGAAAAAGAGTTACCAACAATCGATGAATATGGTTTTAGATGGGATGAAACATTTAAATATTGTAAATTGCTAAATAATGATGACTTAATTTTAATAACATTTCATTATCTACACATTTTGTCATTTAATCATGAAAGTTCTAAAATATTTACAAAGTTCATTAAAAAAAACCATTGTTCTAGATATTCTAGAGGATTAAAAAATATTAACACAGCTATAGAAGATAACTATATTGAGGAATATTTAATTGATTTTAAAGAGATTGATCATTATATCAAGTCTTCATATAAAGACAAGCACCTAGTTTCCAGACAGCCTTATAAAGAAATGGTTTTATACATGTTGGATGATTTTTATAACCTTAAATATGGAAAAGAAATCTTAGAAATAGCATTAAAAAAAAATTATGGCATTATTGTGGAAAAAATATTTGATTGTTGCCTTAATACTTATTTGAAGGATACTGAGTCAAATATTGGTTTATTAAAAATAATTATATCAGAATTACCAAGATTACAAAAAAATCACCAAAAACTATTATCAAAATTCTTTAATCATACTTCAATGATATTATTTTCATTCAATAATAGTGTTCATAGTGGACATAAGTTTTATAAGGCCATAGATTATGAAACATTTATTTATAAAGATAAAAGCTTTTGGGATTCTTATTATAAATTTGATATTTTTAGTATTAAATATCAATATAGAAAGTTTAAAGAATATATAATGGGCTTATTTTATTATAGCTCTTCTAAACCTTGTGTAGAATTGATAATTCCATATCCTGGATTACTTGCTTATAACAATAATAAGTATTCAATATGGAAAGAATTCTATGATCCAGAAAAGAGTATATTTGTTAAATTAGTTGAATTAGAATCTTATGAATTATACAAAAATTGGAGTGGCGAATTAATCTTGGATCACAAATGGAAAACTTTTGGATTCAAATATTACTTTGCAATTTCAATCTTTTATATAGTATTTTTATTGAGCTTTGCTATTGCAACTTCCACTTCACCAGATCAATTATCTGATAATACTAGAAATTCATTACTAATCACAACAATTGTCCTTGGGGTAATTCATCTTATAATAGAAGTTCGACAACTTATCTCAAATCCATTTAAATATATTACTGATGTTTGGAATTACTTTAGTATGATGATGTTATACTATTGTTATTGTTATTTTATTATTTGATAATTAATTAATTTTAATACTATTTTTTTTGTTTGGTTAACTAATAGACTTAGGTGCCTATTCTTTACCAATCATTGCCTCATTAATGTGGTTAATTAGTGGAAACCCACCACCTATTCAGCTGATTTCTGGATCAAATCTATTGTTAGATTTAAAGTCTATGTTGTTTTTAAGGGTTTTTAGACATTTTGGAGCATATTTTGCCATTATTATAGGAGTTGCTAAAAAAGTCTTTTGGTTCTTAATTATAATATTTATAATCATTTTGAGCTTTTCACATGCATTCTATTTGTTATTGAAACCAAGTCAAGATGTTACAACTGATATACCTTTTCTCAATGATGATCCTAACAATCCTTGGAACCTTGTCAATAAATATTATACTTTACTTTCAAATAATAGTGGATATGATCAAAACTCATACCTTGTACAAGAACCTGA